AGGCGAATCCCGTACAGTATATGATATTGTGTAAAAGCATGGGAAATAAGCAGAAAATTTTCCGTTCGAAAAAAACGGCACTACTTATGGAACAACCTAATAGAATCGCAATTGTGTATCCGTGTTCCTCAAAATCATGACCCATCAGGTCAGAAATGCAAGATAAGAACACCAAAGAAGACCCAGGACTAGTATGCAACAGGTTGTACGTACACTGCTCATTACCGAGAATTCTTGTTTAATGTGAATTACAATCGCTTCAGGATATCCCTTTTTGCTCTTTCTGCCCTCTAGGGTCTTGAGTACTTGCTACTGTTTTTCTAGCCTCTCTGTTCATCAGTTGCAAACTTACAACATTCATTTTCAGTATAGGATTTTGCTCTTTTCAATTCTACTTCTGCTAAGGTATTTAGCCTTGCGGTTCACTGCTTATGTCAGATAATCGGTCAGCACGTTAGAGGAGCCACCAAGAGAAAGAGTGAAAGCGAAATGGGTCCCCGGTAGTGTAACTGGTAGCACACCTGCTGGCGAGGGTTCGAATGTCGTCCGGGATAAAGAGTTTGTCCATAGTTCATCGTTTTCAATGTTTATAGCGTGCTTCGGGAGGAGATTAGAAAGACCTGCTGAGAGCGAGTTTCTTTTGATATGTGGCAAGATGTCTCATTGGTAAGGTTTCGGATGTTCTTACCACAAAAAATGTTAATTTTATAGTTTAGCACGCCAAAAGAGCGCTGCTGATTTTCAGCCATCCAAACTTCTAGAAGATGGTGAGTATAGGAGATGTTATGGAGCCTTCGATGCCCAAAGCCGTCATCTTATGATGAAGATCAAAGACCGCTCATATCGAGCATATCAAGAATGGGCCGAAACATACCAGGATGAATTGTTCTTAAAGGAATCTTCCACGGAAAAACATCGCCTCCATTCCTACAAAAAAACGATACCTTAGGCCCCTTGCTTCATGAAGATAGCAAAAAGAACGGAACATAGGCGATGGTTTTGATAATAATTATGATAACCAGTTCGACTATGAAAATTTTGAATTCCCGCTGTAAAACTTCCACAACTGTTAGCGGCGTGGAGTCAACACGTGCAACGTGTCACTCCACAACTGTTAGCGGCGTGGAGTCAACACGTGCAAACGTGTCAAAAGCGTGAACGTGAACTGGATTCATGTTGGCCCTTCCCATAAACTGACACGTGGATCCGCACCTGCCACGCACTTCGTCACAGAAGCACTTCCGGTCCCGCCTACTGGTCCAATCCGGTCCCACAGATGGGTCTTTCCAAGGGCTGTTTCTCTTGGGGGTTTCATCATTTTCGCTCTGAACTTTGCATATGGTCTTCAATGACCATGCCCAACACCTGTACACAAGGAAAGGATAAGCAGTCTTTCCGTGGAAGATTCCTTTAAGTTCTGTTCGGCACGCAGTTGTGGCCATCCCACAAGTTGAGAACGGCATGATCATGTTCAGTGAGAACGAAACTAAACTTAGAACTCTCAACCTGGTCATTTGGTGTGTTCAGAATTGCGTTGAAAGGGGTGCAGTGGCAAGTGGTTGGCTCCGCTTGCCACACAGCGGCCTCGCGACTCCGATCCTGAAATAGTTAGCCGTTCATAGTATAGACAGGTCGTATTTTCTTAATGGACAATGTATGAGCGAACCACTCACAGAACTTGGTGAACTACAGCTCAAGGGTCTCTGAACGAGCACGCTTTTCTCTCTCTTGTCCTAGGACTCAGCGTACCTACCGGCGGTTTTCAAATGTCCTGTTTCGAATGCACATATCCTTTTAGAGACATGAACCCAACCATCCTCTCATACCTCAGAGACTGCTCCAGAGGGGGAGGGAGAGAGTGAGTTTCCCAGGTGTAATGAGAGACCGCTTTAAGGGGGGCTCCGGGTGAAGCGTTTTGCAGACGTTCTTGCATGCTCGTAGTATCGCACTGGCTTGTAATAAGCGCTTCCATTTTGTCTGAGCGGCCTCATGAAGGCTAATAAGCAATAAAAAATGTTGAGTGGTTGGTTTATACGATTCTGGGTAAAAATCTAGCTGTAAGGGTTACTGACGGTCAGGGTAACGTACATTGTTGGTGGTGGCGCTATTTGAAGTAAATTTGAGAGCTTCAACCTAAAATGCAGAATTCGGTCTGGTCGCCACGGGAGACCGAACCTTGGACCATTTTTCTAATCAGTTTTTGGTCTACAAGATGCTGCTCAGAGGAGATGGACGTCGATTTTGTGTCACCTCATGCCTTCTTATAACATGCAGAAAACGTTTTAACAATCGTTTCACACCCTGGAAGACCACCCTTGTCACTGGTATAACTTGACTGAATAAAAAACTGTCTATCGGTTGTCTCTCCCGCAATTTATTGTATGCTCAATCACACTCATGGCACTACGATCCTAGACAAGTCCAGTGGCATGGGGGCCATCCCAAAGAACAACCAATCACGCCATTAAAGTCTCTGGCTTTTGGTTTCATCCACACATATTAGAATCTGTATTCGTTAAATATCTTTCGGGTTTGTTTTGTTAACTGAAATAAAAAATAATAAAAAAATAGTAATGCCCAAACGGCTACCTTATCTTCATGTCCCAGAACCATCGTAATAAAATGAACTAATCCATTATACAGGGGGGGGGGGCAAAAAAGACATTTTGCCCATGTCGCACTTCGGCCCTTTTTCTTCGCAGAGATTGCCGTCGTTGACGGAAGTTCCTCAGCAAAGTATTCCCTAAATGTCCCTCTATAAGTGCGCAGGCCCTCCTTCACTGCCCTCACCGTCTTCAGAATATGACGTCATCTGTCACCGTCGTCAAGCTCAAGGAGGCCTACCGTAACTGCTTCAGCCTGAAGCTCTTACATAATTTCGTGAATCGATTCAATGTTGGATAGTTTCCTAGAGACATTAGCTCCCACCCCCTCGAAACTCGCTTTCCAGTAAAGGTCGTTATGGTACACGATCCTTCGAAGACCCCATTGAGCTCGACCAGTGCACCATGTTTCCGGGGCAAATTTTTCTGATGCCGTCCACGTAGGTGGCCACTATGAAGATTTTCTTATGAAATGAAATTCTTCAATACTAAGTTGGAACCATCGGTTTGAGCTTGAGCAGAGTGTGATTGAAATCCATCTAGATGTGGGATGTCGATGTCAAAATGATGTCAAAATGTCCTCTTTTTTTGCCCCACCCCCTCCCCTTGTATATGCAGGTAACTGCTGAAACACGAATATTTTGACCTCTAACCTCCGAAGGATGGTTCAGAAGAACTTTCGGTCATCCTTTTTTGGGAGAGGCGGAAAGTTCTTCTGAAGATCGAAACTTGAATCACATTCATCTCTCGTCCTTGGTACCTGAACTTGTTATGAATTTCCTTTCCAGCAATTTTCATATTGCACAAAATGCGGGGTGCCTGTTCGAGCCATTCTTTGGCGGAGATCGGTAGTGGTCAGTCGGAGCGTCGGAATGATAACGCTATTTGCAGTTTGTTTTTATCATTCGATATCACAATGAAAGGTCGATACGATAATGAGTTCTTCGATAACGACGACGCTCAACTGACCATTGCCATAGACGATTGACATTGATTTCTACTATGATGCGATATTCGCGAGTACAATTATGTACGCAACAATTCAATGACCGTAAATTCCCTCTCGAGGTTTCGATATTCCTTGTGACTCTCATCGAATTTTCACCGATTTCTATTTCACTATTGTTCATTGTCTTGGGGGTGATGGGACGAAAAGTCTCCGGAAGACAGTCTCCAGACGTGTTTGCAT